GACAAAACGACAACGAGTTGGTTCCCTAAGAAACCGACTTGAGAGTGTGAAGGACCTTTCCCAGGTGTAAAGAACTTTCACACGATGTTAAGGTTCTGTACCAACATTCTAGAACCTTTACAGAACCTCCTAGAACCCAGAACCCCCGTTTTTCCAAAAGCGGTTCCCTGTTTGGCAGCGTTATTTGTAAGAGTGCATGTTTTAATGGCTGAGCTGCCTAATAAAGGCTCAGTGGTGGAGAGACGAGCAGCGATAGAGAGATATCCGTCTGCACAGAGAGAGAAAGTGAGAGTAAGAGTGAGATGCAGAGTGAATGTTCGAGTTGGAGAGATAGAAGCGCAGATATTGATAGAAAGAACTGAGAGAGATAGTTAGAGAGAGATAGAGAGTCGCGGGGACAGAGACGGAGCCGGTGTTTATGAGTAGTGTGAGCAGTTACTGATAGTGAAAGTGCCGTTAGGGACAGCGGGACCCACCACACCCTCCACCAGCCAGACTCACTCACCAACTCACTCCATCCTGCCTTCAACAGCAGCACTGATGCTAATGCTAACGGTCCATGCTAACGTTCGTTCACGCCTAGCTGCGGTGGCGCTTTCGGTGAAGTGTCCCACACACGTCTGTGGGGAAGTTTTCGATGGAAAGATGTGCTGCTGTTGTTGTTTTGTGTTAGCAGCAGGGCTTAAACTGGGTTTCAGAGGGAAACTGGGTTTTTTCCATAAAGTTCTCAGCACTGATAAAAATAATAGCCTGTCTGTTTTCAGTGAGTCAGTTCATTTACCTGACTGTTAGCATTAGCAGCTCTTTGTCAGTCTTAGTCACAAAATTAAATCAAAAACATGATCCGATTCTTTTCTAACAGTCCCACTTAAACTTTTAAACTAGCTTGATGATATCAAGAACCCTTCCTGTCCTTTTTAACAGTATGCGTGGAACATATAATAAAGTTTATCTATAAAATTCTTTATAAAACCTGCTTCTCAAATTACTGAAAACTCCAGATTTCCTTTCAATCATCTCTAAGCAGGTTAACTCTGGAACTAAACTGATAAAGCCGATTAGTAATTATACTCAGTAGCAGTAATGCTAACCAGTCAGCACTCAGTAGCAGTAATGCTAACCAGTCAGCACTCAGTAGCAGTAATGCTAAACAGTCAGCACTCAGTAATGCTAACCAGTCAGCACTCAGTAGCAGTAATGCTAAACAGTCAGCACTCAGTAATGCTAACCAGTCAGCACTCAGTAGCAGTAATGCTAAACAGTCAGCACTCAGTAATGCTAACCAGTTAGCACTCAGTAGCAGTAATGTTAACCAATCAGCACTCAGTAGCAGTATGCTACTGCTGCTAATACTAGCTGGTCCATGTAAACAATCAAGAAAAAAGAGCCAGTAGTGCTACATTTTAAAAATACTATCAAAAACTGTAAACACACTGATTTTTATTCAGTATTTGGCACTAAATCAGTTAATTGGACTAATTTTGTTCTCTTTATAATGAAACATGCAGTTGGTCACTTGTGGTGTCCACAAGTACTGATGATAAACACGACATGATCAGAAAAGCGTACTGTATTAAATTGTGACATCATTTATCATGAGACTGATATATACTGTCATATTGCCCAGCCATAACACATATATGGTCTCTCTGTCTGAGGGTCTGCCTGTGGGGAAGTTTCTGATGGAAAAAGGTGCTCTGATGTTGTTGTTGTGGGTTTTAGCAGATGAACGTCACACACACACACACACACACACACACACACACACACACACACACACAACCTCAGACTTAAGGGAAAATGTTATCCTTTATTTTTGATCTGACAAAACCTTTAGTTTTATAGTAATTATAGTAAATAAAATGTCTATATTTGTGTTGTAGTCATGGTGACCCCTGGTTCCTATCACCACCACTGTAAAGACATCTGAACCATTTCACACCAAACCACTCAGAATCTCTGAACAATTAAAAACTGTGTCAAACTCCACTTTGCTAGCAATGCTAACGCTAATGCTAGTCACGCTAACTGGCCCATGCTAACATTCATTCATGCCTAGCTGTGGTGCCATTTCTCGGTATATAGCTTGAAGACTCACCAATTTGACCAAACTCTGATCCAAAACTGCCGGAGTTCAGTGTGAAAAGTGTTCTGCTCCTAAAAGCTTCTCAGAAAGTGTGTCAGGCGGCTAAAGCGTATGCAGGTACGCCTGCTAGCTGAGCTAATTCTCCCTCAGACTGTAAAGACTGGAGGCAGTTTAAGGTCAGAAGGTCTGCTCAGCTTCATAAACCCTCAGTGTTTGAGTATTAAGGACTGAAAGAAAAAGGGCTCTGTGGTTCTGGAGTTGGTGAAACTGCTTGAGACAGAATGGAAAACATGAAGACAGATACTCAGAGGCTAAAGTCATTCATTCGTTGATTTGTTCATTCATTGATTCATTCATTCACTGATTTGGCTCTGCCACTACACATCGAAGTAAAATTAACATGTAATTTCAACCCTGGACTTAGTATTGTTTAAACCATAAAACATGACGATAAAGATTAAATATTAGCGAAAAGGAACAATAAAGATGAAATACTAAGTCAATTCTATAAACGATGTAAAAACTGCTGTAAAACATGTAAGTGATGTAGTTATAAAAGTGAGAAACTAAAGTTTGGGCCCATGTACAGACCCTTAGGCCTTAAAGGGGAACTCCACTGATCTTTTAAAAATTCTGCATAATTAAGTAGTTAAGATGTAATCAGAGCGGTTCAGAGTGGTTTGGTGTAACACGCTCTGTTCTAGATAAACTTACCGAGTCAGAACTGTTCACAGTGGTGGTGATAGGAACCAGACGTCCACCTCTAAAAGCTCCCTCACAGAAAGTTACTACATGAAATGGTTATGAATTCACTGCCTGATGACTGAGACACTGTTTTATGATAGTTTAGAGAACCTAAACTCCATTCATGGTGGAGGGATACATGCAGGGCGCTGTGAGGCAAAATAGTCCCCAAGGAAAACTTATTATTTCAGATTTTCCACTATTTTCCATCATCAACATTCCATATAAACTCAGAAGACTCGTGTAGGTTCACTGGTGGTTCTGGATAGTAAATAAAATGTCTATATTTGTGTTGTAGTCATGGCGACCCCTGGTTCCTATCACCACCACTGTAAAGACATCTGAATGACTCTGCATTCATCTGATTAGTTGTTAGCAGAGTTAATGGAGTTAATAGTGTGGTTTGTTTTGCGAAATATGCACAAACATCATGCAAACGTTACATAAAGCTACAAAAACGACAAAAAAGAGAGGCTATGTAAAAGTGGCCAATAATGATGGACCTCATAGGGTTAGCTAGGTTAGCTAAAGGCTATTGCAGGCTGTTTTTTAAGCCTTGTAAAGCAGCACATATACACAAATTAAAAACAGCGAAAAACTAAACCGCCACTTTTATTACACCCACCAGCTCCTCCACCTGAGATCAGTGAAGTATCCCTTTAAGAGCAGCGTCTGCGCCCACACGCGCTCGCTCTCTGTCTGAGGGTCTGCCTGTGGGGAAGTTTCTGATGGAAAAAGGTGCTCTGATGTTGTTGTTGTGGGTTTTGGCAGATTAACGTCACACACACACACACACACACACACACACACACACACACACACAACCTCAGACTTCAGGGAAAATGTTATCACCTTTAATAACGTCAGACCTTTCACAGATAAACAGCAGGTGATGTGGTTTTGGTGCAGGTATCTGCTGTTGTGGGTGGGAGTTTGGTGGATAGTATGTTACATGACCTTCAGGTCAAAATCTTTTACAGGTAATTCGACTGATTTCTGAAAGTTTATGCATAATTCAGTGTTTGAAATGTAATTCAACAGTTCTACACTGCAAAAATGGTGTCTTGTCAAGTAAGAATAGCTTAATTTAAGATTATTTATCTCATTTCTAGACATTTTTTACTTGTTTTAAGTCATTTTATTAAGTAAAATTACCTCACTATACTGGCAGATAATTTTCCTTGTTGTAAAAAATGAGCTTGAAACCAGCAAAATTTTCAGCCAGGATAGTGAGATAATTTTACCTAATAAAAAAGTACAAAGTTCTAGAAATAAGCTAGATAATCTTATAATAAGTGCACAACCGTCTCAAAATGGGAAATGTTAGATTTATTGACTCTATTTAAGATCATTTCACTTGATGAGACCACGTTTTGCAGTGTAGTTAATTTATTGAGCATGTATATTAGGGAAATATGATGATATTTTATCACTATTGTGATAAATTTTTTAATAATGAAACTGTTTCCTGAATATTTGATGGGTTTAAAGGCAGATTTAGATCAGGTATAGAGCCAGTGAGCAGCAATCAGCACACAGTAACTGCGTAAACTGCAACAGCGAGCCGATTGGACGGCATTTATTATCACTGATTTTTACCAATTATTAGATTTTTGCTCCTTTTGTTTTGATCAATGTTGAATTTAATAAAAGTGCTGCGCTCACAGTTTTTCATAGGTCATGCTATGAGTGAGTAATAGACTCCCTCAAGAATCGTCATGCTGACTGTTTTGCTTTGAAAAATGGTACCCTGACCTCAAAGGGGAACTCCACTGATCTTTTAAAAATTTTGCATAATTAAGTAGTCGAGATCAGAGTACCAGAGCAGTTCAGAGTGGTTTGGTGTGAAATGCTCCATTCTAGAGAAACTTACCGAGTCAGAATTGTTCACAGTGGTGGTGATAGGAACCAGACGTCCACCTCTAAAAGCTCCCTCACGGAAAGTTACTACATGAAATGGTTATGAATTCACTGCCTGATGACTGAGACACTGTTTTACTGTAGTTTTGAGACGATTTGGGCCCGAAAATCCATTCATAGTGGAGTGGGTACTCTTTTTTTTCCTGATTTTCCACTATTTTCCATCATCAACATTCCATATAAACTCAGAAGACTTGTGTAGGTTCACTGGTGGTTCTGGATAGTAAATAAAATGTCTTTGTTTGTCCAGGGTTCATCAGACGACATGAGGAAGGTGATGAGGAGAGAGAAGAACCGCATCGCGGCCCAGAAGAGCAGGCTGAGGCAAACGCAGAAAGCTGACAGCTTGCACCTGGTGAGAGCATCTCAACACCTGACACACCTGCTCTCTCCACACAAAACCAGAGAGCAGCCAAACGTGTTGGCGCATCGTCCACTGATTAGAGAATACCTCTTGCAAAATCCTTACTGTAATCTGTCTGGCTCGAGTGTTGGCTCATTAGCCATTAGCTCATGTGAAGAGGCAGCACCAGTTACTCATTTAACGGTGAAGTATGTAATATTAAGTACCATCTAGTGGTGAAGTTGCAGACTGCACCCAGCTGAATCCCTCTCCCTCACCCCTGCCTTTCCAAGTGTGTAGTAGAACCTGTGATGGCTGTCAGGTTTTCTACTCTCGTCTGTCCCAGTTTCATTTCGCTTCTTCATGTTTTCTCTTTATTGACGGTGAGGATTCGCCCTCCCTCGCTTTTTCTTATGCTAAATAATAAGTCTGATCTTCCTTTTGACAAAATTTAAGCTCTCAAAGTTCTCACAACACAAAATGGTCAGCAGCACCGGCTGCAACCACTGATTCTTCTACTTTCTCTGTCTTCCAACCAGAGCTACAGCGCCACCAAATGAAAGGTAAAAATGCGAAAGGTGCCCTCTAGAGTCAGAGTTTGGTTTGTCCGTTCTGGGCTACTGTAGAAACATGGTGGCAGCAGCCTCTGTTGGAAGAGAAGCTGCTCAGTATGTAGATATGAAGGGCTTATTCTAAGCTAACGAAAACATGATTGTACACTAATGAAAACATGGTTTTGTTTACTATATTCCATTTCTGATAATAGAGCCCCCTAAATCTCACACACTGCACCTTTAAGACAGAAACCTACTGATTACCAATTTCAGCAATTTTTTAATTTTAAAGTATGTGCTCCTCTGTGTGCTGCTAATATCTGTGCTATCACCTAAAAAAGTAAGCCTTTTCCTTCTTGTGTGGATGTGAGTCAGAACGCACATCTCTGGATTGAATGCCTTTGTGTGAAGCTCCCTCCACAATGGATCCCTCACCATGGCAGAATTCATGACGGCTGGCTGTGCCACGAGCTCAAGGGAGGCCGCCAAGTCACGATCATCTTCGTCAACATTGTAAACAGCCGTGTTGGTATCGCTAGACATTGGTTTTCGCCTCCAATTAGGACACGTGCAGTTTTGTTCTGCAGCTCTGGGGACACATGGTACGTCTGAGACTCAAACCTGCAGCAGCCACAAGTGTGCAAATCCCAGAGATGTGAAAAGGCATGAGTCGGTAACACTTCACTCAAACACTGCGATATAACACTGACATAAGCCTGCCGTTAACATGTCACGGCAGATGTCATATACTGGCCTGAGCTGTCAGGACAGATTTTGTTCAGTGATATAACAGTGTCATGTTCCCATTACCCATGTACTCTATTTTACCATCAAACATTATGACATACACTATATGGCCAAAAGTGTCCTAATTATTATTATCCTAATTATAAGTATCCTAAACCCTCCTAATTATTGATCTCAGGTGTTTCAGTCATGTCCACTGCCAACAGATGAATAAAATCAAGCACATAGCCATGCAATCTCCAACATGTTGAGAGTAGATAGGGGGCGTACTGAAGAGCTTAGTGACTTTAAATGTGCCACTTTCACCTTCGCTACAAGTCAGCTTGTGGATTTTCTGCCCTGCTAGATCTGCCCCAGACAACTGTAAGTGCTATTATTAGGAAGTGGAGGCTTCTAGGAGCAACAACAGCTCAACCACAAAGCGGTAGACCACACAAACTTCAATGAGTGCTGAAGTGCATATAAATCCTGTATTGTATCAGTCACTACAGCATTCCGAACTGTCCCTGGAAGCAACATCAGCACAAGAAGTGTGTTGAGAGCTTAACGAAATGGGTCTCCATGGCTGAACAGCTGCACACAAGCCTAAGATCACTATGCGCAATGCCAAATGTCGGCTGGAGTGGTGTAAAACGCCGCCACTGGACTCTGGAGCAGTAGAACCGTGTTCTCTGGAGTGACGAATCAGCTTCTCTATCTGTCAGTCTGATGATGAATCTGGGTTTGGCGGATGGGGAACTATACCTACCAGAATGCAGAGCCAACAGTAAGGTTTGGTGGAGGAGAGATGATGGGCTGGGCTGTTTTTCAGGGTTTGGGCTCCTCAGTTCCAGTGAAGGGTGATGTTGATGCTGCAGCACAAAGACATTTTACACAGTTATCTGCTTCCAGCTTTGTGTCAGCAGTTTGGGGAAGAGCCTTTCCTGTTCCAGCATGACTGAGCCCCTGAGCACAAAGCAGCTCCATAAAGACATGGAGTGACCAGTTTGGTGTGGAGGAACTCCAGTGGCCCTCACAGAGCCCTGACCTCAACCCCACTGAACACTTTTGGGGTGAACTAGTACGGAGATTGTGAGCCAGACCCTCTCGTCCAACATCAGTGTCTGATCTCTCAAAAGCTCTTTAGACTGAATGGGCACAAATTCCCACAGACACCCTCCAAAATCTTGTAGAAAGCTTTCCAGAAGAGTGGAAGCTGGGGCAACTCAATACTAATGCCCATGGTTTTGCAACAAGCTCATACAGGGGTGATGGTCAGGTGTCCACATACTTTTGGCTGTACCAACATTAGTTGTAATGATAACATCACATGTTATGCTTAATGTACTCATGCAGTCTTGCATGAAGGCAGCAATGAGGGTTCTTTCTTCTTTCGATGCCACAAGAAGAACCACTTTTGAACCTTTGGCTAATTTTTAGAGAACCTCTTTTTGTAATTGAGCCCTTTTAAAGTAATGTAAAGGTTCTATACCACATACGGACCATGCATCCAAGCCAGGAACCATTAAGGAACCTTAATTTTAAAGTACTGCCACTTTTTATAACTTTTCAGAGGTGTTCATGCATGGCCATCGCAGCTAACAATGCTAGCAAAGGCAACGGCGAAGCTAATAAGCTAACAGCGGCACGGGCTCTTGTCCTGCCGTATATTTACATGGATCGCTGGTGAGCATGTGGCGATGCGTCATGGCTTCTGTCGAATTTCACACTTGGCTGTGGCTCTGGCCATGTTTGCCTCCGATTCTGGCATTAATTACATCGCGTGGGAGAGCAACCGTGGCGAACCTCACGATTGTGCATCTAGTTAGAAAAGTGCCTACATTTCTGTCCCTGTCTGTTCTCTTCACTTTCTGTGCTTCGGAGATAAAAATGATTCGCTCTCTTAGTCATTAGTATCATTATTATCGTTGTTATTGTTATTATTGTCATTGCTGAGCGTGTTTTATCGCCTCTTTATTCGTCTGTATCACCTCTGCGGATACAAAAACAGGACTTGTTGCACCTCTTCTGACTCAGACTTTCAGTGGTGCTGCCTTATACATCATTCAGCGACAGCTTTGTGTTTGCTGAGCACACACAAGCTCACAGTTGCGCGTTCGGATTCTTACTCAAAGCTGAACTGCTCGGTCTCTTTCACTACACAGCACTCAATGACTGGCTGTTTAGGAGCGTTATTACTCATGTCCTTTCACTATCTATTGAGCGGACCGCCGCCCCTCGCTCCCCTCCCCGTTTTCTTCGCTGTCTGCGGTCATGGTCGTTACTCTGAGAACCTTCACAAAAGTGGTTCCCAATGACGGCGCCTGGAGAACCCCTGCTGTTGAGCTTTCACTGCTAGAGCACATCCGACTTAGCTAGTCAGCTAACAACACTAAAAAGTGCATGTTAAGCCATAGTTCAGCAAAAATTATGTACACAGTCCAACCCCGCCCATATTCCAACTCATATGCACAGGAAATGTACGGGTATATATTGTGTAAACATTCGCAAATAATGCTGACAGATATGTAAATAATAAAAATTGACACATATATTTAATTTACATATGTGCACATATTTCAATATGTTGACATATATTGGCATATATTTAAATATTTACAAATCTAAATATTCCTCACATATTTACAGTAATGTGAGCAAATATATGCACATAACCTGTATTTTTCTACATAGCCTTAGCACTGAAGCTACAAGGCTGATGTAATGGAAGCTCCGCCTGTTAGCATGGTGCTCACTGCATGTCTAAATCATCACACGCCTGCCTCAAACCGCATAAAGTTGTAATCTCTAATAGGCTCGCTGCATGCAGTTAGCATGACGCTACAGCACATATGCTTCCATTACCAGCTTAGCATCAAAGCTCCGGTAAAAATACTCAAGACACCAAAATTAGCATTGTGCTAACCGCATAACTAAACCATGCCTCGAACTGCATACAGTTGTTAAGCAACCTCCAACAGACTTCTTGCATGCAGTTAGCATGATGCTATGGCACATACACTTCCTTTACTAGCTACATTAGCCTCACAGCTCCAGTGTAAAACTAAAGAAGCTAACTTCAGACACCAAAACATGTAGGCCAACCCCACCAATTAGCATCGTGCTACCTGCATGCAGCAATCTCCAATAGACTTGCTGGATGCAGTTAGCATGATGCTATGGCTTATACACTTCCATTACTGGTCATATTAGCCTCACAGCTCCAGTGCAAAACTAAAGAAGCTAACTTCAGACACCAAAACATATAGACCAACCCCACCAATTAGCATTATGCTAACCGCAAACTAAACCATGCCTCAAACTGCATACAGTTGGTAAGCAATCTCCTTTGACTTACTGCATGCAGTTAGCATGATGCTATGGCTTATACGCTTTCATTACTAGTCATATTAGCCTCACAGCTCCAGTGCAAAACTAATGAAGCTGACTTCAGACACCAAAACATAGCCTGGTCCCACCAATTAGCATTGTGCTAACTGCAGATCAAAATTGTGCCTCAAACTGCATGAAGTTGTAATCTCTAATAGACTCGCTCGGTGCAGCTAGCATGACGCTAATGGCATGTATGCTTTCTTTAGCAGCTGCTTTAGCCTCGTAGCTGTAAAGAAGGAAACTCCAGACTCTAATCATGCCTTGGCTGATTGATCTTGTGCGTCAGGGTGAAAACCTGGTAGACTTTTGATGATCAAGGCCTTTCGTGTGGACCAGCTC